GTTAGTTGAAGCTTGGATTTTTCTTCAGTTCTTTCAGCTTGAGAAACGCTTAGCATGTTGTTTCCTTTTGGTTTTATGACTCAGGTCTTTGCACATTTCATTATATTTTGTCTTCTGAAGCAGCCCTTTAAAATGTTCTGTTCAGCAATTTTACTTCTTTATTTCATCCAGTTGCTTTAGATTCTCTATGTTCAAGTTTCAGGGTCTTTCTGACATCTGTTTTGGTCTTTTCTCTCCTTCCTGTCTTTTTACAACCTTTTGCTTTCTTCTTTTATGATGTTCTTGATGTCATCTCACAACTCTTCTGGCCTTAGATTGTTAGTGTCTAATGCATCAAATCTGTTCTTGAGATTGACTCTAAACTCAGATGGGACTTATTCAAGGTCATATTTTGACTTTCATGTTGTTGTTAAGCGCTGTTGAGTCAATTCCAACTCATAGTGACCCTGTATAGAGTTTCTGAGTAGTAGCTGGTGAGCTTGAACCACTGACCATGCAGTTCAAGCTGACTTTGTGGCCAAATGCTCATCCTACAGCACCACACCAGGACTCCTTGGCTCTCATAAATTTGTTTTAATTTTTTTTCCGCTTCAACTGATGTTGCAATATGAATGATTGCTGGTCAGTTCCACTATCAGCTCCTGGCCTAATTTTAGGAGGAATTATTGGTGGCATTTTTTGCAGTAGTCCCTATGTGGTACAAGTGGCTAATGAACTAGACTGCTAACTGAAAGGTGGTTTGAATATACCTAGAGGTGCTAGTAAAATTTTGCTAAAGGTAATTAAAAAATATCTGCAATAGTACATGGACAGAGAACTGCCAGAAATTCAAGCTGGATTCAGACAAGGATGTGGAATGAGGGATAACATTGCTGAAGTCCGATGGATCTTGGCTGAAGGCAGAGAATACCAGAAAGATGTTTACCTGTGCTTTAGTGACTGTATAAAGTCTTTTGGGTGTATGGATCATGACAGGCTATGGACAACATTGCAGAAAATGAGTATTCTGGAACCCTTAACTGTGCTCATGAGGAGCCTGTACATAGACCAAGAGACAGTCATTCAAACAGAACAGGGAACATTGAATGGTTTAAACTCAGAAAAGGTGTGTACCACAGTTGTATTCTTTCACCATATTTATTCAGTGTGTATGCTAAGCTAATAATATAAGAAGCTGGATTACATGAAGAACATGGAATCAGGATTAGAGGATGACTTGTAAACAACATGCAATATGCAAATGATACAACCTTGCTTGCTGAAAGTGAAGAGGACTTGAAATACTTACTGATGAAGTCAAAGACCACAGTCTACAGTGTGAATTGTACCTCAATCTAAAGAAAAATAAAATTCTCACCACTAGAACAATAAATAACATCCAATAAATGGAGAAAACATTGAAGTTGTCAAAAACTTTATTCTGCTTGAATGAGCCATCAATGCTCATGAAAGCACAGTCAAGAAACCAAATGATGTATTGGTTTAGGCAATTGTGTTGCACAAGACCTCTTTAAAGTGTTCAGGAACAAAGATGTCAGTTTGAGGACTAAGGTGCACCTGATCCAAGTCATGATATTTTCAGTAGCCTCATAGGCATGTGAAAGTTGGACAGTGAATAAGGAAGATCAGAAACAGACTAATGCATTTGTGTTGTGATGTTGGAGAAGAATATTAAAGGTGCCTTGGACTGCCAGAAGAACAAACAAATCTATGTTAGAGGAAGTACAGCTGGAATGCTCCTTAGAAGCCAAGATGGACAGACTTTGTCTCTCATACTTCAGATATATTATCAGGAGGGACAAGTCCACAAGAGAAAGTCATCATGCTTGGTAAAGTGGAGGGTCAAAGAAAAAGAGGAAGACCTCTAACAAGATAAATTGGTACAGTGGCAGCAGCAGTGGACTCAAAGGTAGCAATAATTGTGAGGATGTCATGGGACCAGGTGGTGTTTCATTCTGTTTTACATAGAGTCTCTATAGTGCAGAACCAACTCTACAGCACCTAACAACAACGATGAAGAATTGCCTTAGACAACAGTCTTGGTGACCTGTTTCTGAAAATTCAGTCATTGAAGACCTTATGGGACATAGATCTATTTTGAAGCAGCTTTAGTTGCCATGAATAAGAATTGACTTGATGGATGCTACAAACTTGCTTGCTGAAAGCAAAAAGGACTTAAAATACTTAATGAATGATAAAGACCAAACACCATAGCTTTCAGTATGGGTTGCACCTCAATGTAAAGTAAACAAAAGTCCTCACCACTGGACAGTAGATACATCATGATAAATGGAGACAAGATTGAACTTTTCAAAGACTTCACTTTGCTTGAATCCACTATCAACTTTCATGGAAACAGCAGTCAAGAAACCAAACGATGTATTGCATTGGACAAATCAGCTGTAAAAAGCCTCTATGAGGTGTTCAAGAGCAAAAATGTTAGTTTGAGGACTAATTTGCACCTGACCCCAACTCATGGTCTTTTCAATAACCTCATATGCATGTGGAAGTTAGACAATGAATAAGGAATATCACAGAAGAATTGATGCATTTGAATTATAGTGTTGGAGAAGACTATTAAAAGTACTGTGGACTGAGAGCAGAACAAACAAATTTATGTAGGAAGAAGTACGGCCAGAATGCTCCTTAGCAGCCAGGATGACGAGACTTCATCTCTCATACTTTAGACATATTATCAGGAGGGACCAGTCCTTGGAGAAGGACATCATGCTTGGTAAAGTGGAGGGTCAACAAAGAAAAGAAAGACCTCCACCAAGATCATCTGGTACAGCAGAGGGCCCAAGTTAACAACGATCGTGAGGATGGTGCATGACCAGGGAGAGATTCTGTTGTTCATAAAGTCGCTATGAATAGGAACTGACTCAATGCCACCTAACAACAACATATATATATACATCTGACCCATAGAGACCTTGTATAGGTTTTCCGAGGAGCAGCTGGTGAGCTTGATATATATATATGTATGTGTGTGTGTGTGTATACACACACACATACATACACACACACACATATATGTTGTTGAGTGTCGTTGAGTCAATTCCAACCCATAATGACCATGGAGCAGCTGGTGAGCTTGAACCACTGACGTTGCAGTTCAGATGACTTTGCAGTCTGACGCATTAGCCCACAGTACCACACCAAGACTCTCTCTCTCTCTCTACATATATATATATATATTGTTGTTGTTGTTGTTAAGTGCCGTCGAGTCGGTTCCGACCCATAGCGACCTACAT